TATTCGATTCGCAATATTTTTTTACTCAACAATCCACTCCCGTCGTTTAATACACTTCGATATATTGAAGATAATTTTATTTTACGAAGTCTTGACAAATAATTGGAAGATTCGATTATTTTATAAAATAGTTATGTATTTGATAATATTATACAGTATTTTGTTGTGTGTAGGTAGTATAATTAAACGACGATTTTCAACGTATATATCGATAGTAAGAGAACAGGACGACCACGTGTAATTTAGTCGACACTGAAGGACGTTGTATGCTTAAAGTATTATATCGTACATATACCGCTAAAGCCATTTATCAACGGGATACAATCGAAAAAAAACCAATGAAGCATAACTCGATGCAAAACTGAAGCAATAGTATTCGTAATTTTTTCTTTCTTCACACAATCCAAACTGATCGGTAATGTACAATACATGTAAGTTTTTTTCATAATATGTAAATTTTGTAATATCTGAATGTGTTTTGCATCGATTAAACTCTCAAATAATACTCTCTAAAGACTTATAAGCCGCTAACAAGAAGAAACATTCGAAGATAATATCTTAAAATAAGTTATCGATATACTAGATGAGTGTTTTTTTGAATGATGTAACAAAGTGATTTCGAATTTGAATACATTACAACTAAGGATCAAGTACAGAAATTAATCGGACTGTCAAGTAGGCAAAATAATTTAGATGTAATTGTAAGAGAATATTTTGTCGCCTCGAATCCACAATATCAGTAATTTGTTTTATTTTTCTTCTCGTATATTGTGAAAACAATGACGAACACTTAATATACTAATTTTTTTTAATATATATTTATTTCGAATTATCATTTTTATTAAGGTCCCGCGTCACAAAGCGGTATATAACAAATAGATGATCTGGGTCATAATCATCCGATGTCAGGGCTAAGCACAGCTTCCTACGAAAAAACTTACAGAATTTCAGCAAGAAGTTCTTTACATACGATAGCTTCGCTTGATCTTCTCTTCGCACAAGAGATTCACCAACGTCTTTTCAAAGCGCAGGGTAAGCATACAAGTTCTTCTCTTCGCACAAGGGATCCATACACGTCTTCTCTTCGCACAAGGGATCCATACACGTCTTCTCTTCGCACAA